AAGCCCAAGCTTACGAGACCATTCAGACTGAAACATTTTGCTCGGGAAACTATCAGCTATGTCCATTTATAAGTACCTTATTATAAAAATTCGTCAATTCAAAAAATATTACTAATATTAGCCGTATGTTATCAATATTAGCCAATTAGCTATTTATAGCCAAAAAAAGGTCAGATTTTGATTTCTTTTGAGTGAGTGTTATTAGAATAGATTGGGTACATTTTAAGGAGTTAGAATCTCAGTTTTAGGATGATGTGGTAGAGTTTTGAGGTGGTTTGGATTAAAAATTTGAAGTAGAATATGAACATAAAAAAAAATATTAATCACACTGAATCATTTATCACACATGTATCATATTTGTATCAAATATGTATCACACATGTATTATATTTATATCAAATGTGTATCACATGTATATCCATGTATACCTATGTGTGTAATACATGTTTGATACATGTGTCGCAGAAGTATTTTTTGAACTCGATTCAAACTACGAATTTTAATACCAAATCAGTCCAAATCACCTCCAATCTTCCTCACAATTTGTATATTGAATCATCTATATGTTTTTCATGAATTTCAACCATATCCATTGAAAAAAGGTCCTTTTTTGCTTAGATTTTTGAAATCTTGTATATATATATTTTCTTAATATTTTTATCACCTTGTTTGTTACCTTATCCATGAATTTTCTTTCCGTCTTACATCTAATGTTGTTGATCACGCTTAAAAATATGGAAGAAGATCTTTACGTGTGATTCTTGAAGAGAAAGAGCCTTTTTTATTTGAGTTTTTAATTGTTATATGTGTTTGGCTAGTTTTGGTAAGTCTATAATTAACTGCTAGAGGTTGCTAAGTTAGGACTTATTTAAGACACTAATGTAAGATTCCCTTTTGCTTATTAGTTCATTCCAAAAGGATGAGGCAAGAAAACAAATTAAATTTAAACTCGCAATTCTGCCTTTATGAGAATCTTTTATAACTATACAAATGTCATAACACATTGAACAACACAAGTTTCACAAGTCCTATAACTATACAAATATTATAATATGTGTAAGACCATAAATTTTTTTAAAAAATATGTTTTAAAATTTCGTACTAAATCAAATTATAGTACACAAATTGGAACATAATAAATTTAAAAATTGGCAATGTAATATAAAAATGAACTATCAATGCTTGGATGTTAAAATAAGTTGGAGTTAACGAGCTACTAAATATAGAAAGAAATATTTTTTTTAAACAGATTAAAAAAAAAAGTAAGACACATAAATTAAAACAGGGGAGTAACAAATTTTCAGCAATTCAGGGCAAGTACTAGTGTCTAAACATAATCAACTTGCTTTTGAGGAGAAAACAGGTTTATTTTAAAGAAAAAATTAAAGCCAATGCCTAGACTTCTTAATTAATGGATAATGCTTAAACCTAAGACGAGCTGAAACATATAAAAATGCTATAAAGTTTGCTTTACAAAAAGTGTTAGTATTATGGAAACTCCACAAAATATAGCGCACTATCTACCTGTTTTCTCAAGTGAAATAGTGAGAAGACAATCGCCATTTCAGAGTATTTTATACTTCACCTATTAAAAAAATAGAGTAATTAAACCAAATAGCTAGCTAAAAAATTGGAGATTATTTGCAAATTAGAGTATAAAATCCTAAATATTTGCCAATTCGCTTAGACCTCATTTGTGCAATTTAAATAAGTCGAAAAGCTTTGACATTATTTATTACGTTCGAGCTGAAAGATACCATTGCTTCGCCTCTTTGTTGTCAAATTAGATCAAGACAAACAAGCACTATTATGTTAGCTGGAATAAATTAATTAAAAGCTTAAACATAAAACATTTAATGGTATATTAAAGGTAACTTGCATAATCACCATCAAAGGATACGGTAGAACGATAGGATCCTTCAAACCTTAACCAAAAATTTTGGTATAAGGCCTTAGAATGTATTAGTTATAGTACTTTACAGTCAATATTATTGAGTTACTTTACTATCTCTTGGGATCTTTACATAAATAGCCGGTCAGATTTATTATTTTTTTAGTCGATATACATAAATTATATATTGATTATACACAGTTGCATACTCATTACTCCATCTGTTCACTTTTAGTTATTCACTTTTGGTTTTGCACTCCCTTTAAGAAAAAATAAATAAAGTATATATTCACAATTTTACCCATAATAATGATAGCATTTTCAAAAGCTCTGGGGAATGAGTAATTAATGATAAGAGTAAAACAATAAAAAAAAGATTATTCTTCTCTTGATTTAGTATAGTAAATATATTTTTAGTATAGTGAACAGGTAAAAGTGAACAGAAAAAATACATATGATATATAGATTATACATATATTATAAATCTTTTCGCTATATTAGCTTAAGAGATCATGTAAGAAGACTATATATTATAGGGCTCATTTTATTTTTCAACTATCCCTAACCAATGAGGAGACCTGATGGGATAGGACATATGAGTTATAGGACATAATTGATATTTCACTTCTGCCCACAATATGGATATGCTTGAATGTCTCTTTCAGTTTTGAAGCAACACCATTATCTTCCAGAATGAATTAAAACTTATAGTAATATATTATTATAAAAATGCAAAATACAATCTAAAAATCATGTCATATCTTATGTAAAATGCTAACAACTCCAAAATTAACGGTAAACGTGCTCTACCTAACTTCTTCAATTACATCCCGGACGGATGCTGTACTCGGACAGGTTCATTCGAATTCAATATTTTCGACTCAAAATATAAATACATATGTAAAAGTTCATTAAAATTTTAACACATATTAAATCTAAACTCATAAATTTAATAGTATAATGAGTTTATAGCTGAGAACCTAAAGATCGAATCCGTCAAATTTAAATCCATCCGTCTCTACATACCCCTCCAACCACCCAACAGATTAGTAGTTGTTTAACAGTTCAACGTGCAAAATCAATCATACAACGAAAGATTAGGTATAGGTTTAGAGTTAATCTTGGTCAGATAAGGGGCTTAATTGCTTTACTTAGGTGAACACCCATAAAGAAATAACAATAATTCTAGTCAAATCCCCTAATATAAAACAGCTGCCGACAACAGTTTTGCTCCAATTACCACTGTTGAAGATAGAATAAAATACTTTAAAACTTGGAATTGTTCCCATTTATTCAGAAAAATGGCACAAACGTAACACATGGTTTCACGTTAGCACGCTATCAGCACCCATGGTTGATTAAAAAAAATATAGTATATCCTATGTCTTAGAAAAATGATTACATTCAGAATGCGAAGATCAACACATTTAATTCAGGTGTGAATTCAAATTTTGATTTCTACATTCACGTTTAAAAAAAAAAAAAAAAAAAAAAGGCAAGTGTTAATGTTATGTGTAGGGACTAGGGGTGTTCATGGTTCGGTTTGGATCGATTTTTTCCTAAAAAGAAACCAAACTAAGTAAGTGGATTTTTCAAATATTGAAACCAAACCAAACCAATTAACTCAGCCTTTTATCGATTCGGTTTTTGCCGATTTTTATCGATTTTTCGGTTATTTATCGGGTTTTTTCTTAAATATGAGACACACTATCAAACACATATTCCGACGACTACATTTTCAATGTAACACTATCAAATCAATTGCTCTTTGAGAAATCTATCATTTACCAAGATATATTGATTTGAATCAAGTTAAGTACTCAATTAAAAATTGATTATTTTAACATGAAATAAATTTTTATACTTAGCAAAAAAAAAAATTATCAATCAAACTAGAATGTAAAGACAAAGAATTAGATTATTATAATAGCAAAGAACTAGACTAAAAATACAAATGACTAATATGTACCATACAAGTTTAGAAACTTTATATAAAAATATACTATCTATATAGGTGTAATAATAAATTTAAATAGCTACTTTTATAGTCGGTTTGGTTCGATTTTTTCGGTTATTTTTTAATTAAAACCAAAACCAAACCAAATTTGATCAATTTTTAAAATTCAAACCCAACCAAACCAAACATAAAAAGTATCGATTTTTTGGTTGATTTGGTTCATTTTTCAATTTGATTCGGTTTATCGGATTTTTTTGAACACCCCTAGTAGGGACCAGACGACTCCGACCACATTACACGCAGGGACCACATGGATCAAACAATATTGGGTCTTATGTATAGAATTTTACCTTCTATTTCTACATTGCACGATTAAATATAATATTTACTAACTAGATAAGATTGCCACAAATCAAGAAAATTTTAAAATATTTCAAGAAATTATATTCCAAAAAAAAAATTGACTCGTCAAATAGTAAAAATGCAATCGTTTATAGGTAATTTTATCTTGACTTTCCAAATCATAATAATACCAATTTTTTGGGAGTGACAGGAAATAAATGAGAACTATCGCATCCCAACGCTGTTTTCCAATATGAAACTTCAATGGATCATAAGTTCAAATATTATAAGGTGAACGAGACTTCTGAATTCAAAAATCATTTTGACTTTGATAAAATGGCAGTTCAACCCCCGCTACGCTTCGAATACAAAACTCAAAAAGATTCCTAATAATAGACTCGTAACAACAACAACAACCACCCAGTATAATCCGGATCTGGGGAGGATAGTGTGTACGCAGACCTTAACCCTACCCTGGGGTAGAGAGGTTGTTTCCAAATAGACCCCCGACATCCTTCCCTCCAAGAACTACCCACCTTGCTCTTGGGGAGACTCGAATTCACAACCTCTTGGTTGGAAGTGGAGGTTGCTTGATAATAGACTCATAATTTATACAATTGGTTAGATTGCATTCCTAATCTCCACATAACTTGTTTAATTAACATGGTCAACAAACTCATTAAAGAAGGCATGATTTTAATAAGAGCATCTTTGTGCACAAGTCAATTAACAAGACTCAAACAAAGTACATCTGATCTAAGGCATAATAAACTCAGCACAGAGTTGACAAAATTCAGTATCAATATCAAATATTTCAAACTATGAATGAATCTTATCATACTTTTGGAAAGTAACTGTATCCGAATGCACAACAAGCATTTGATACTCGCCTAAATTAGTAGCGATACCACGAAAATTCTTCAAAATTTATAATTAACTGCTACAACTGATAGACAGGGTCAATCACAGATGTAAAATACAAATGAAGAAGTAGCTTTTCATGCCCTAAAACCAATTTAACTACCTATCGGCTCGCAATGTTTTACATGTCCTGGAAAAATAAGCAGTACCAGGGAAAAGTTATGTTACCGCGCTGTTTGTCAGTTCACTGTTACATTGACAATGAACGCCACGACTTATTGCAGTGGAGAAGGTAAGGCGGCACACTTCCAAGTTCTGCGTCTCACTTAGCCTCCTGCTGAGACAAATAAGTACCACGACACATAACCTTTGTCGTTGTAAACCAACAACAACTATGTCTCAGTCCCAAACAAATTGGAGTGGGGCACATAACCTTTGTCGTTGTAACAATTACATTACCCTACAATAAAGTCCAGGCAAAGGTGCACAATTAGTCTGCATATAGCAAGAACAAAATATTCACTTTCTATTGAAAACTATTACCTTTGCTCTTCAAAGGAGTCGGCACCATAAACCAGTTTACAATTGAGGGGCAGAGGCAAAGTCCGGCACAGGAACTTGCTCTGTCAGTTGTCACGAGTAAAAAAAAAAGGGAAGCCCGGTGCACTAAGCTTCTGCTATGCGCGGAGTTCGGGGAAGGGCCGGACCACAAGGGTCTATTATACGCAGTCTTACCCTGCATTGCTCTGTCACGAGTAATGGGGACAAATTTAATAAGCTGCCTTCCAAGTTGAAAGTGCATAAACAATACGACCTTTCCATCCCTGCAGTAGCCAATGACCGTCTACATCAATCACAAAATCCTTGTGATACGCCTTCACCCGCTCTTTTGCTGTACTCCTGATCTCCTCGTTCAAAGGAAGCTGCCTAAAACCAGCTCTTATATTTCGAACCTTCCATTGCTTGTATGTTTCTGGTCTCTCAATTCTCTCAGCAGCTTCGCACGCTACGACATTCATCACCTCCCGCCCAAATATTATCTTTTCAATCAGCATTCTCTCATGAATTTCACGGGGAATATTAGCTTCAAGCATATCAAATACTGATGAGTAGTGAAAAAGTGCCTCCCTGAATCGTGTGATAAAGAACGGGGCATTATAAGCACCGTTTACAATTCCCTGTATGAAAACATCAGGCTTCAACATCCGGATGAGATTCAATACAATATCTCTTGGACTATTTACAACCACAGTCTCATCAAGTAGATTCCTGAACCGATACAAGCAGTTTACTACAAGAACCTCGTCCTTCCGGATCTCAAGATCCTCCACTTTAATTGTCTCCCACTTCTTTGCTATAGCTTTAAACTCAAACGGAACATTGAAACTCTCGGCATAATTTGCTAACCTCTTTCCTGTTTCCTCAACTCTCTCTGCTGGCCGGAAACCAGGATTTGGAAAATCTATCCCCGTTATACGGAGCTTGGGTGGTCCACCCGGTCTAGAAGAGAGACGTTGTATGAAGCAAGGCCATTGGAAGCCGTACATAATACCGAAATCTATAATATGTACTGTTTTAGCCCTTTCAGCTACATTCATAATTGTCTTATTCGAGAAGAAGTTTGAGAGCTTTCTAAACGGGCAAGCAGCAAGAAATAGCTGGTAAGCTTTCAAGACATCAGCTGCCGACGTAGGCATGGAAATAAGGGCGGTATAAATCTGAGTACCGGAACCAGCCATGCGTGCCTCAAGACCATTGGCAACGTAATGGGCCAGCCTCTGCATCCCATCCCCCATAGAAGAAGAATTCTGCCTAATCTGCTTCAGAAACTCATTTGCTGTCCTTCGATCATCTGCAGCAACAGCTTGCGCACAAAGTGTCAAAATGGTTCTTAAGTCTACTGTATCTCTTTTACTCCCCTGCCTCTTTCCGCGGGACTTCCGACCATTAGATCCCTTCGGAAGGCCGTCCTCTGGAGTATTTTTACTGGATACAGTTTGCCAGGACTCACGAAGAGCAGATTCATTTTTCCCTCCACTGCATAGCAACACTCTATCGAACATTTCCGATCGAACAGTTGATTCAGAAAAAACTGCAGATTGCTTGTTACTTCTCTCCTCCATAGCATCGACATCATCATGATGAACGTTTTTCTTCCCTCTTGACCCTTCAGGAGATTGATGTTTCCCCCAATTCTCCACCTTCACCACTGCATTTTTTCCATATTCATTATCCTCCTTTCCCACTACATTATACCTTACATCAAGGAGCAAACTATTACCCGTAGGAAGGAACTTACTTGCTTCCTCGACGCCTTTCTTAAACTGCATGATAGACTCACTATCACTAAATATGTCCGGTATCTGAATCGAGCTCACGGGCGAATCCAAATGTGCATCGGTGACAGTTCCGGAGCTGCTTGGCGAACTGTGGGACGACTGAGATGTCGAAGCAACAGCACCATCAACCGGAAAATGTTGAGCATGTGAAGAGTCACTATCACCACCAATATCAGGATTCCAATTTGGGCATAATAAGCCATCACTAACATCACTTATACAACTATAATAATTACTACTACTAGAATCCACATAATTACTACTACTAGAATCCACAGGGTACCGCCCATCGATCTGACCTAAATTGGGCATTTCCTGATTGTGGGACGGAGGATACTTCTTTCCGATAACTTCATAAAACGATCTTTCAGCAGCTTGAAGGGCTGCAGATTCTTGAAACATACAAGCCTTCTCTTCAATATTCTCTTCCATAAGCATTTGACTTATGTACGTAAGCACTACATCACTAAAATCATAATCCTCATGAGTGTTATAGACGGCCGATGGAACTAAAACATCAGGTTGAAATTGTGGTATGTTAACATGATTTCTTTGGACTAAAGTATGATCACTAACTCTGAGATTGTTAATTAAATTCAGATCCGGAAAAAATGACAAATCTTCATCCTTTAATTGAATTGCAGATGTTGCTTCATATAGCCCCTTATAGTTTTTATCCATGACCATCTACTCTGCAAAAATATCAAGACAAAATCTTTTCTAATTATAACAAATAATAAGATTTTTTTTCCAGAAAAAAATATGCTAGTACTAAATCTAAATCAATTGAAATCAAATTTGAAGCTACATCTACAGAAAATTTATTTGACAACATGTCTGAGTATAAAAATGGTTAAAATGGAAAGAAATACATTATAATATGACACCCTTTTGTTTATACTTGAAAAAAGAATCGATTTTTAGCAGAAAGCTGAAATCTTGATTGACAAAATCCCAAGAAAAATCAGAACTAATGTGCCAAATCAATAATTACATAGACTTTTATCCTTTAAAAACACGATAAATTAATCTTAAACTCAATACAAGTGTTTCTCTTAAAATTAAAAAAGAGTGAATTGGTGCAAGCATCATATGCAAATTAATTGCAACTTTGACAAGTAGTATATAAAGAAAGAAGAAGTACCTGTGATACTGAGAAATCCCAGAAAAATAGAGAGCAGAGAGAGAGAGAGGTTAAAAGTAGAATCAGAGCGGCGGTGCTGAAAACAAGTCTGCCACTTGCTTACATTGATAAGTATTTAAATACAGANGGGGGGGGTTAAGTAATTAGAGTTTCCTGGTAGCTTTTCTTGTAAGTGCCAAAAATAGCACGACCTATCCAGTTTTCGGATTGGTAATTAAAAAATAGTCAGTACTTGCAAAGTAATTAAAAAATAGTCATTATTTTGCTGCAATACGGAAAGTTCTAGCATAATATACTTGAGGTTAGTGCACATATGTATGAACTTCCAGCATATTATGCTGGAACTTCCAACATAATATACTGGAGATTGGAGCACCTGTGTATGAACTTCCAACATATTATGCTTGACTAGTATATTATGTTGGAACTCCAGTATATTATGCTAGAACTCCAGTATATTATGCTGGAAGTTCAGTATATTATACTGGAATATTTTTCGGCTTTTGAACAGTGCATTCGTTCACATTTATGTTTATATGAAAAGTAGCTAAATTTCGATTACTTTTGAAACTATAACTATTTTTCAATTACCACTTGTAAATCTGGCAGTTTTTGAATTTCACCCGAAATGATGGACTAACTGGTTTTTTAAAATTTAATGTATAAGTTATTATTATTGTTAAATTATAAATTAAGATGATTTTTTTTAATTAACTAAGATTTGGTAATAAGAGTATATAAAGACATGTGTTATGTATTTATTGGATTGAATTTTATAGTTTTAAACAATTTATGTCATTACTATTATAGATTATCATTAAAAATGAACTGAAAATGTTAGATTGAAAAAAAAAACTTACTAAATATAAAAGGTACCATTCTTTTTAAACGTATTAAAAAGGAAAGTACGACAAGTAAATTGAAGCGAAACTAGTACACATTAATTGTGTATTTTACGGTTATCATTGCATTTCAATTTATATCCAACCTAACTATAGGAGTATAAAGTTGTTGAGTCACACTATAAAAGTTTGGAGAGGGTGGTGGAAGTCAGGGTGATGAGAAGTCATAAAAGGTGTTCCTCGCCACAACTAGGTCGTCAATAGCGAACTCACAAAATTTTTGCACTCCTAATACAATAACTACTAAAGCAATCTTCCTCAACTACTAGAATAATCTTAAACTACTACTAGAGCAATCTTCCTCAACTATTAAAGTATTTTAAAATTCTACACTCAAATATAAACCAGTCCTATCCCCATATTTTGGAGGAAGAAACTATAAAAGACTTAGGCAGAAGAAGACATTTTATTATACAAAAGTTTGTACAAGAGAACTAGGATGGAAATTAGATTGGTTGAAAATTTATGGCTTGACATGAATGACTTCTCTTTGATGATATGAGAGACCCTTAAATAGTATTTGCATAGTATAGAACTTTGGGAACTTTATGGCAAGACATGGATAGACAACTTTATTGTTATATTTTTGAATTTTTATGGTAACTTTTGGTGAGTTAAAGTAGCTAAAAGGTGAAAGACTTATGCAGATTTTTTATTTTTTTCATAATAATTTCTTGTGGGCTAAAGTGGTGAAAAGGATAAAGAAAGTGTGTATTTCTTCAAATGGGTACTTACTTAGGGGGTTAAGAGGTGAAAATAATTTAAGACACTTGTGCAATTTTTTTCTATTTTTTTTTTTAAAAAGGGGGAATTATGGAAGGAAAATTGGCTAAAAAGTCTAGAAGACTTATGCAAATTATTTCCTAGCTCATGATTACTCATCATGCTTGTCTTTAACCCTTATAGCTTTGCTTTCAACTCTTATAAAATATATCTTTATATGCGGATGATTTTCTTCTATAATTCTTGTTCTTTTACCTTTCTTCTTCTGTGACGAAGTACTGATATCCCATTTAAATTGATCTTAGCAATTTTTACTAGATCAATATCATAGGGGTCTGGTGAGTCTTTGGGCATTTCCATGTATTCCTTAAGTGATGTCTTAAACTTTTGCCAATGAGGGTGAATGGAAGAATAATTCCAACTTCATTCCTCTCTCGGCCAAATTTCCTCCGGAAGGCACTTATTTTGCTGAAAAATGAGCCTTTGAGCTTCGGCATACGCCTTTTCCATGATTAGAATTGTGACTGGATAATGAAACCAAAAGAACATTATAGGCATTATCTTTATAGTTCTTTTGATCACACTGAATGGCCTGTGGAACATGAATATTTGATGCTACGAAAATAAAAATGATGAACCCAATAAATTTGAGGTTTGAACCACAACAAAAATATTTTTAGAAAAAGCTCAAGATTGTCAAAGTGCCGGAAATCATGGCACTTGAATTTCATGAGAATGTGGTATTGATGGCAGAGATACCAAAAGAACCATAAGAGCTCCTGTGAAAAATTCTTGGTATGCACTATGAACACCTGGCAAAATGAATATTATGTGGATTAGCACCAAAAGGTGCTAGTATGGAACCTTCATAGTTTCGAAAAACCTAGAGTTCATAAAAAATCTTCTGTCCTAATAAGTTGGACGGATCAAAAGGATCCAAAAATCAATTAACTCTAGCAGGTGATGTAATAATGAAGAACCTAGCTATGGCGCATGTGAGAACATGAACATTTGAAATGTTGATTTATTCTTCTTCATGTGCCTTTGTTGCAGAAACTATTTGAAATTTACCTAGTCTTGAAAAGAAATAGCAAGAAAATTAGCTTTCCTTTCAAGTGCTTGGCCTGAAACTTGTAGGGAGAAAACTACTGAGCTAATCCAAGAATTTGCGGATTAGAAATGAGTGTAGCATCTCAAAATAATTTAATAGATGAAAAGAATTGCTCTAGTAGATGGGGAAGATTACTCTAATAATTAAGAAAGACCGTTTTAGTAGTTGATAAAGATTGCTTTAGTAGCTGTCGTATTAGGATTGCAAAAGTTTTCCGAGTTCGATGTTGATGGCCTAGTTGTGGCTAGGGACGCCTTTGTGAGCCTCAAGCACCCCCCTTGTAGGAAGACTTCTGTGCGAATAATTCAGCCGCTGCTAAGGTGATCCAATCTCTACAAAGGTAATCCAATCTCTATTCTAGTAATTCAATATCTACTTTAATATTTTACCGATCTCTACGATTTTCGTTACTACACCCATTCCCTGTTGTTGTGAGGCGGGTGATAATTTTTTCTTAGGTCGGTTTTGATGGCTGAAAAAATTCTAGAATGTGCAGGTCCAGGCGTCTAGGCTCATGTAGGAGGCATAGGCTATATCACACGAAAATATAGGAATCGGATAAAATTCTAATTTTATGGACCTATAATGCCAAAAAATGAGTAATGGTAATGGCGAAGCAGTGACTATTGTTCTTTTGGTAGTTTTTGATGGGCCGACAAATTTTAGGGGGTCCGGGTCTAGGCACCAGGGCTCATACAGGAGGCACGGGCTATAGTACACAAAAATTTGGGAATCAGACGGAATTCCAGTTTTATGGCCGTAAAGCACCACAAAAAGAGTAACGCTCATGGAGAGACGGTGACAATTGTTCCTTAGGTCATTTTTTATGGGCCAAAAAGATTTTAGGCAGTCTAGGTCTGGACGCACGAGCCCATGTAGGAGGCGTGAGCTATAACACATGAAATTTTGGGACTCGGACGGAATTCCAAATTTATGGTCCTAAAATACAAAAAAAATGAGTAACGTTCATGGAGAGGCGGTGACCATTATTCCTTAGATCATTTTTAATGGGCCGGAAAAACTTTAGGTCATTAGGGTTCGGGCATAAGGGCCTATGCAGGAGGCGTGGGCAATAGCACACGAAAATCTAGGAAGCAGGCGAAATTTTAGTTTTTTGGCCCTAAAAGACCAATAAATAAGTAAAGGTCATGGTGAGGCGGTGATTATTGTTCCTTAGACCATTTTTTGATGGGCCGCAAAAATTCTAGGCGGTCCGAGTCTGGGCGCCCGGGCCTAATGGCCTATGCAGGAGGTTGGGCTATAACATACGAAAATCTGGGAATCGGGCGAAATTCTATTTTTATGGCCCTAAAATGCCAAAAATTGAGTAATGATCATGGCGAGGCGGTGACTATTATTCCTTCGGTTATTTTTAATAGGCCAAAAAAACTTTAGCCGTTCTGGGTACGGGCGCCCGAACCCATGTAGGGGGCTTGGGCTATCACACATAAAAATCTAGATATCGGGCGAAATTCCAATTTTATGACTCTAAAACGCCAAAAAATGAGTAACGACCAAGGCGAGGTGGTGCCTATTGTTAAGGTCGCTTTTGATGGGTAGGCAAAATTTTAGGCAGTACAAGCCCGGGCACCTGGGCCCATGTAGGAGGCGTGGGCTAGTACACGAAAATACAGGAGTCGAGCGGAATTCTAGTTTTATGGCTCTAAAATGCCAAAACAATGAGTAACGGTCATAGCGAGGCAGTGACTATTATTCCTTAGGTCATTTTTGATGGGCTGACAAAATTTTAGACTGTCCGAGATGCCCGAGCCCATACAAGATGCGTGGCTATAGAATACGAAAATCTAGGAATCGGGTAGAATTCTAATTTTATGGTCCTAAAACGCCAAAAAGCAAATAACGGTCTTACGAGGCGGTGACTATTGTTCCTTAGATCATTTTATGGGCTAAAAATTTTAGGCAATCCGGTTCGGGGTGCCCGAGCCCATATAGGAGGCGTAGCTATAGCATATAAAAATCTGGAAATCGGGCAAAATTTTAATTTTACGGCCCTAAAACGCGAAAAATCGATTAACGGTCATGGCGAGGCATTGACTATTATACTTTAGGTCCTTTTTTGATGGGCCTGCAAAATTTTAGGCGGTCCAGATTCGGGCGTCGGGGCTCATGCAGGCGGCATGAGCTATAGCATATGAAAACCGGACAATCGGGGAGAATTCCAATTTTATGGCCCTAAAACTCTAAAAATGATAACGGTTATGGAGAGGCGGTGACTATTGTTCCTTATGTTATTTTTATGGGCCGGTAAAATTTAGGTGGTGCGGGTCTAGGCGCTCGGGCCCATGCAGGAGGCATGGGCTATAACACATGTAAAT